GTTCCTCCTCGTGAGCGTTCTTGCGTTCGGTTTCTGCAGCTTCCACTGATGTCCCCTTGTGCGGTTGTTGTTGTTGTTGTTGTTGTTGTTGGTCTCCCCGGGTCGGCTCACGGCCGACCGTAGCCCAACGGCTCTTGGTGACTGAGGTAGCCGCGGCTCAAGGCCGCCACGGCCCCGCCGTCCCGAAGCTGCGTAGGGTCCGGTCTGATATTCCCGAGTAGGCGGAGCCTCGCGCCAGCCAAGCACGGGCACCTCAGCAGCACGTGCTCCGGCGTGTCTGGGCCCTCGCGACACACCAGGCAGCGCGCCGCCGGGCAGTCCAGATCACTGCACTGTGGGCAGTCGCGCTCGGGGCGGCGTCCGATTCTGTGAAGGTAGCTCTGCGAGCGGCTCCAGTGTCCCGCCCGCAGCTGGTGGACGTTGACCGCCTCGTCGCGAGACTCCAGGAGCACCGGCATCGGCATCCGGTCTCCCATGATGGTTTTGAAGAAGCTGTCTGGCCAGCTGCGACGCCATGCCTTGGTGGCGGAGCGGCCGACTGCCTTCACCATCGAGCGGACGTCCGTTGGGACGGCGTCTTGCGACAGGCTGGATGCCTCTTTAGCCAGCACGTCCGCTCTCTCGTTGCCGGGTATTCCGCAGTGCGCTGGGATCCACTGCATGAAGACTCGGCGTCCTCCGTCCGTGAGCGCGACCGTCCGAAAAGCCTTCTTCCAGGTCGTGGAAACGGCGTCGCAAGGTTCTCCACAGAGCAGCAGCCACAAACGACGGACCACCGGCCAAGGCATCACGTCTGCATGGTGGGGAGGTCATCAGGCCGCAGCCTACCGGTAACCTGATGACGGTCAGTGAGGCGGTGCGGCCACCGGAGCGTCAGTGCCGTCTACAGCCTCCCCAGCCTCCAACGCCGCCAATGACCCTGGACCGAACTCAATCCCAGCCAAGGAGAGTGACATGCTGCTCGACATGTTGGCCGTGGAATATCGAGGGTGTGCAGTACCCAAAGAGGAGATTCTGCCACTGCTCTGCAAGCCCTTCAGATGACTCCTGCCACGAGTGCTGAACCCTATGATGTTCCCATATATTGGTTTGCCGAGAAACGTTAAAGTAATGATTGTTTTCAACCACCCGTGAACCAGTTCATTGTTTCTGTGTCCCCTTGCATTGCCCTCGTTGCAACCAGTTTATGTGTTGGTTTATCGCTCACATTGCGTCACATTTTGTCGACAGAGCTGCCTAATTTCCTTTCCCGGTCGGGGCTTGAGGAAGTCGCTCGCTGGCTCCGGTGCCGGGCTGCTGAGATGGCGGAGTCCGAGCTGAGCGATTCGGCCGCCACCCGCACCGCTCGCCGGTCATTCGTCGTCCACTAGACGCCTCCATCGGTGCAGCTCGAGGCTTCCACCGAGGCTGAGTGGCGACATGATCACCAGCCGGTGCTGGTGCTGCGCGACTGCTTTCGTTTGGTCATTCTGAGACCTTATCAGGCGCAGTCGAGTGAACGTCGCGAGTGATCGACTGGTACCGGACAGTGGTGTGCGAGGAGTGTCAGATTTTGGTTTCGTGTCGAGCGACGTGTCTTTGTGTTGTGTTTCGGGAGTTCGAAAATCGCAGAAGCCTGCGATTTTCGGGTGGGGAGAATGTCGCGGAATGTTGCGGTTATGTAACGCTCTCCGTTCGGCGACCAAATGTTGCGGTACGGTAACATTGTGCGTCCGGCGATCGTGGTTCCACCCGGCGCGGCGGCCGGGTGCACCGGTACTTTGAGCGCGGCTCGCGCGGCCGCTCCGCGCGGCCGCCGGCTCGGTGCGGGTGCCCGCATACGTCAAACGAGTGACCTGTCACGTGATAGACCGAGCCGAGGTCGGGGTCTCCCGCCGGACGGTGCGTCAGTTAGTATTCAGTACTGACTCGGACACCACCTCCCGCCGATCCCCGACCGCTACCCACCTGATAGGTCACGGCTGAATTATTTTGCACCATGAAGGCTGCTATCCTCTGCCTTTAAAAACCTGGGATATCGCTCCGGGTTTTTAAGCATCTGTTGTTATTTTACCGTTCATTTTATTATATTGCTCGTTCGTTTTGCCCGCATGTTTCTTGCCCGCACGTTTGAAGACAATACAGACCTATTTTGTATACATTCTTTCCGTTAAGGAGTATATCTAAGATCACGACACACGGCGTCAGGTATTTTGTACCTCCTTTCGCTGACGTTAAAGATACAGTCCACGTTCTCTCACACGCAGCGAGCCGCCGGCAACATTTGGTCCTCCGGGCCGGATGTGCTCGCAGTACTGATAAAATCAACAGGTGCTGAATAGCCAGAACCACCCAGTTCATTCAAAATGAATAAGACGGGCAGTAACGTAACTGAGATTGAACAGTTTAAACTCAAACGCACTAGGGAGCGCACAAAGGCCACAAAATTAACAAACGAGTTAAAGTCTCTATTCTCCCAAGTCCATGGAGATAGCGACAGCATCGCGCGGTACGAGCTCGACTACAACATCGAGATCGGCGAGGGTCACCTGGAGGTACTGGAGAACCTGGAGTCGAAGCTGAAGGCGCTCGGCGTTGAAGATGAGTCGGCGCACATCGCAGACCTCCACAAGGCCATCGGTCTCGGGAAACGCCTCCTGACGCAGACGGAGCAAGCCGAAGCCTCACCAGTACCATCCGCGCCTTCGGCGATGTTCAAGCTGGACATCACCGTGCCTAGGTTTAAAGGTGACCTGCTGGCCTGGCCGGAGTTCTGGGAGTTCTTCGAGGCATTCGTTCACACGAACAGGGGTTACTCCTCTGTTCAGAAGCTCTGCTTCCTGCGTCAACATCTCGATGGACCTGCAGCCCGTGCGATCCAGGGACTACCGCTGACAGCCGATAACTACATGGTCGCTGTACAGATCCTCAAGGACCGGTTCGGGAAGGACGACATCCGCAAGGACCTCCTCATCACCAAGCTTCTGAACCTGCCGGCCGTCACCAGCGCGGACAACCTCAAAGCTCTGAGGCGCTTGGTGGACGAGGTGACGGCAGGTGTACGCTCACTGGAAGCCATGAGGGTGCCAAACATCGGAAGCGTCTTACTTCCGGTGCTGAAGGGAAAGATTCCCGCTCCCTGGAGGCTGCAATGGGCCAGGCAAAGGCGAAGTCAAACTGCTGGAGATCAGGGCAGCGAGTTCGCCACATTTCTCCAATTTCTTCAGGCGGAGGTGGAATGTCTAGAGGAGTCAGTACAATTGACCTGCACCAAGGCGAGTGAAGATACGGACCCACTCGCGCTGAAATCAACAACCAGTGTCCTTCATGCTCAGAGGGTGCAGGGGCAACCGTCAAGATCATGGATATGCACAGTCTGCAAGCAAGATCAACATCGTCTTGACAGATGTGCTCGCTACCAAGAGATGTCAGTCGACGATCGCTGGAGGATCGTCAAAAGATCCGGAGCATGCTTCAAGTGTCTGGGTCGACACTACATCAAAGATTGTAAGAGCGGCACGTGCAGACTGTGCCACGGCCCTCATCACACATCACTTCATCGCGACCAGACACCAGCAGTGGCTCCAGTGCCCACCCCAACATCGGGCACCTCCCATCATCAGACTGGAGGACAGCCTGTCGCAGCACCACTTGCTGGACAGCTGGGCCAGGATCCAGGTCGAGGGGACGGCAACCGCTTCACTGACACAGAGGTCAGGAACGGTCAACAACATCAACCAAAGCATCGATACAGCGTCCAGAGCATCAAACAATCCTGCTATCTACAGGCAGTACGTGTCGAAGGACACGGTCCTACGAATTCTAGGATGCTGAAAGTGCCGCTGGATGAAGGATCCGACGCGTCCTACACCAGCAGCTCAGTGGCCGAGGAGCCGGATCTCCCAGTGATCGGCTCCGGCACACTCGAGTGTGTCGGGCTCCAAGAGCGAACCGAGGAACCACAGCGTCCCTCACAGCAAGGTCTCCAACAGAAGCAAAAGTGTGATCTGGACACGCCCCGAAGCCCGCACACTGATGAGGCCCCTTCTCAGGAGCCACAACCGGTGATACAGCCACCGGAACTGGAGCTGCGACCGTCCGAAAAGCCTTCTTCCAGGTCGTGGAAGCGGCGTCGCAAGGCTAACTACCGAGCAGCAGCCGCGAATGACGGGCCACCGGCCAAGGCATCACGTCTGCATGGTGGGGAGGTCATCAGGCCGCAGCGTACCGGTAACCGGATGACGGTCAGTGAGGCGGTGCGGCCACCGGAGCGGCAGTGCCGTCTACAGCCTCCCCAGCCTCCAACGCCGCCGATGACCCTGGAACGAACTCAATCCCAGCCAAGGAGAGTGACGTGCTGCTCGACAAACTGGCCGTGGAGTCTCGAGGGTGTGCAGTACCCAAAGAGGAGATTCTGCCACTGCTGTACAGGCCCTTCAGATGACTCCTGCCACGAGTGCTGAACCCCATGATGTTTTCCTACATTGATTTGCTCATCGCCAAGTGAAACGGTAAAGAAATGATTGTCAACTACTTGTGAACCAGTTCATCGTTTATGTGTCCCCATTTGTTGCCCTTGTTGCAACCAGTTTATGCATTGGTTTATCGTTCACATTGCGTCACATTTTGTCGACAGAGCTGCCTAATTTCCTTTCCCGGTCGGGGCTTGAGGAAGTCGCTCGCTGGCTCCGGTGCCGGGCTGCTGAGATGGCGGAGTCCGAGCTGAGCGATTCGGCCGCCACCCGCACCGCTCGCCGGTCATTCGTCGTCCACTAGACGCCTCCATCGGTGCAGCTCGAGGCTTCCACCGAGGCTGAGTGGCGACATGATCACCAGACGATGCTGGTGCTGCGCGACTTCTTTCGTTTGGTCATTCTGAGACCCCATCAGGCGCAGTCGAGTGAGCGTCGCGAGTGATCGACTGGTACCGGACAATGGTGCGCGAGGTGTGTCCGAATGGTCTCCGTTCTGAGCGAAGTGCCTTTATGTTGTTTCTAGGGAGTTCGAAAATCGCAGAAAATCTACGATTTTCGGGTGGGGAGAATGCGAGCCGCCGGCAACACCAGGAGCAGTCGCCATACGGCGGCGCCGAGTGCTGTCGCCTGGCTCCCAGCCCCACTCGCCAGTGTGGCGAGCGCCGCCTGCGAGTCGGCGCAGACGATGACCAGGCTCTCCGCCAGGCCGCCCTCCAGCCGCAGCAGCATCTCCAGTGCCCCGCGGATCGCCACCAATTCGGCGCGGGTGCTGCTGCATATCCTGCCCGCAGGGGCTCGGAGCTCGTGTTCCTCGCCTGAGGGGAGGATTATCAGCGCTCCACTCCCTCCGGCTGAGACACCTCCCTCCGCCGAGCCGTCGCTCCACACCCATACGGCGTCGTCTGGGAGGGTGGCCAGATGCTCCTCCGCTCTCTCCCGCCGGACGTCGGGTGGTGCTGTGCGGCTGATGTGGTTGCCGATGTCAAGTCTGAACTGGACCCTGGTGTCATCGATCCACGGCGGGATGGTGACGTGCAGGCGCTCCTCCACAGGTACATCTCGCACGCCCGCGCTCACCAGGGCGCGCGCTCCCGTGTCGCGCCAGCCGGTGGTGGTGCGGAGCCGCCGTGGGGCCGTTGCTTCGGCCACCGCGCGCAGTGGGTCGCCGCTTCTTTGTGAGGCTGCCAGACAGCTCAGTCTGGCAGCGAGCAGGTCCCGGCGTGCTCTCACGGGAACCAGACCGGCTTCCGCGAGGAGCGGGTCCCTCGGCGTGCTCACGGGGCACCCGGTGATAACGCGGGCTGCGGCGCGCATCTCAATCTCCAGTAGCTCTACGTGGGACTCGGACGCTGCAGGGAGCCATGCAGCCGCCGCGTATTCCAGGGCACCGCGGATGTAGCCGTTGGCTACTACTCGCAGCTGTGGCTCCCGCAGACCCCAGGAACGCCCGGTCATCTTACGGAGCTGTGCGATCCTCGGCTTGGTCTTCTTCCGGACGCGCGCGCAGTGCTCGCCCATGTGAAGTTGCCGGTCCAGGGTTACACCGAGAAGGTGAAGGTGTCTCCCAGCGTCCACTCGTGCCCCGTCTACGTGGATGTACAGGTCCCGGGCGTCGACGTAGTGCTGCGACAGGGCTAAAACTTGCGTTTTGCTTCCTGCCAGCCGCATCTTCCAGTCGCGGGCCCATTTCGCTATGGCATCCGCCGCTTGTTGAGCCCGGTCCCTGGCTTCCGCTATCGTACCGCCGGAACACAGTGTTGCGGTGTCATCGGCGTACAGGAAGACAGAGGTGCCCGGGATCCGCTTCAGCGCCGCCACGAGGTCCGCCGACCACAGCGTGAACAGGGTTGGTGCGAGGACGGACCCCTGCGGCAGGCCAGCTCGGAATGGGCGGTTCCGGCTCCGTGACCCATTGACCTCCGCGATCGACCCATTGACCCATTGACCTCCGACCCTTGTGCGGTCGGAGCTGTGTCTGGTCGGAAGCGCTTCAGGAACCACTGACATGCCACCATGGAACAGCTGAAACACTGTCACCATGTCCCCTCGGCGACAACGATAGTACAGCGACGGTATGTCGAGTCGGCGCAGACGCTCGGTGTATGGGAGATGTCTGATGGTGTCAACCATGCGAGTCGCTCGACGTTGTACCCGCTCCAACCGTTTTTGATTGACTCTGCCAAATGGCCCCCATACAATGTTGCCATACTCGAGGAACGGTCTCACCACAGACTTGTACAGCAGGGGCAGCGTAATCACGTCGAGGGTAGCAAATGAGCGCCTCACAACAGCCAACAGCCAACATCACAACAGCCAACTCGTTGTCCAGACGTTTGTTTGTTTGTTTTGTTGGGTTAGGCCCTTTCGGTCGACAAGACCATTGCAGAGCCGGAAGGATGATAGGAATTAGGGGGAGACATTGGTCTGGGCAGGCACCCTAGTGAGTCGCCGGGGCTGAGCCCGTCCAGAGGACAGGCCACCCAGCCCCAAGGCACTCACTGCACCCGGCTACGGGGTGCGCTCCCTCGGGAGCAGCGGTGCCGCTTCAAGGGAGCAGCCCGCATGAGATAAAGTTGCCTGTCCAGCCCGGAGGGGGTTGCGGCGTGGAGGAGAAGGATTTCAGTATCCTGAGGATAGAAGCATGGAAAGGTGTCCAGAGCCCTGATCGGCGGCCGGCTAGTAGGGGAGAGTGGGGCTATGCGATACACTTTTTGGTCTTCTGCACTTAGTGGCCAAGCTATTCAATGAAATTGCTCCAAATTTGGTCACATGCTAGCTGAATCAATTTGGAAAGCACATGCAAACTTTCACTTCTTTACGACTATTCACTTTTATGTGAAATTCAGAAAACCAAAGCAAGATTTTTGGGGTAAGTTGAAAAATTGTGGGGCAACTTGATACACGATATGGGGTACGTTAGGCGGCACGGGCGGACATCGATAGCAGCGCCTCTATCGGTCACTAGGGAAAGCTTGGCTGTAGGCGACGAAATACCGGCTGAGTTGGGGTGCGGTTATTTTTTCTCATCTTAGTTTGCTATTTTGGCGCGATTTTGACAATTTCTGGCGCATTCCACTTATTTACTTTAGCGGCCATAGGGCAATGGTTTACTAACGGGAGATGTAATGAATTGCAGCAGCAATACTTGGAATATAAAGAAGAAGTGAAGCAATTATGATACCTATTATTTTTTATAATGACAGAAGGAACGTGGAAGAAAAAACATTTTGTGCAGCATGTGAAAACAAGGTAATAGAATGGAAGAAGGGCTGCTACTTTTCATGCGCCCGAGACCAGCCACCTCATCATCAACGCATGGTAATGATAGTTTAAGTTTATGTTAAAAAAGAATAGGAGCTGCTGCAAAGGTGATGTCTCAAAGCCGTTAAGTCAAGTCAGGCATGCTCTTACAGACCGAACGTTCAAGTTGCGAGACCCCATCATACCGCTCCAGTGGCTGGTGCTTATATTGATATTGTGCAATTTCAGATACTTTGTTTATTTTTTGTGGCATAATATCTAGAAAGTTTTTGCAAGTCTGGTGATGACTGATAATTCAAATAAGTGATTTAGTAAAATTAAGTTCAGTGGGTACAAGTGCTTTTTTCTGTAGAAGAAATGTTTGATTTTGTTTTTACTTTGCTTACCTACTGTCATGATCATACACTGTAAAAAATATTGACTAGCCCCTCGTCAAATGATTCTCAACGCTAAATGTCGGGGGTACAGGCTAGTTTTGCATCCTACTTTTGACACACGGTGCGAGCCCCTGGCTTGTTTTGTGTTCGTCAGATGACAGTTACCAGGTGTCGGTTAGTTTTTACCACGTCCCAAAAATAGCTGGAGCGTTTCTGCCTTGTTTTGGAAGCAGGTCCTCGTTAATGCTGTGTATGATAACAACCTACCTAGTAACAATAATAACGAAAAACAATGTCAAAACGAGGGCGGCTTGTTTAGTGACGATGCTCAAAAGAAGCATCGTCTTGTTCCTACTTAACGAATGAAGCTCAAACTAGGTCAAAACTAACGTATTGCTCAACCCATAGTCAGATGACCAGCAGATCCTACGCCGCCCAATCCAGTCATCGAATTTGCCAGCGAATTCGTTTGAAGACCATCATATTATTAAATATCGGTGGTCTTCAAACGAAATCTCTTACCAGTTTGATGACGAATTCATCCGGCCCATTCCAAAAACGCTCAAGATAAAATGAAAGTGTATTTCTGAAATAATATGCTTTCTTGCAATGCACCTTTCGTATATCAAGCGAACCTTTCACTTCCAGCGCCCGTCAACAGTTATCAATCGAATCAGAAGCATGCACATATAGATAGATCTGAACCTAAGAACACAGAAGACATTTTGTAGAGTACCTGTCTGAGCCTATGCAGTGGAGCCCGTGAGCCGCCCAACCGCAGCTGCCTCATGAACTTGATGATAGGTCTGAACCTCAGATTGGCCAGAGCTTGGCCGTCAATAACCAGCTTATTTATATCCACAATTGTAGTGACTTAGGGTTTGGAATTTGCCAAACCTAAGTTTTGATTACCAAGAGAAGTTTTGTACTTCTTGCACTTGCCTTTTCTTCATAACTTTGGCGGAAATCGTCGTAGTGAAACTTCAGTGATCCGTTAGCTGTCGGTTCTTGAGAGAGTTGGCCAGGCCGGACACCGGGGGCGGCTCCACAACTTTTGAAAAATTAAACCAAAGTCCTATTGCACTGCATGGAGAGCAATTCATTTAAAATCGCTCTTGTTCCCCCCCCCCCTCGACAACTTTGCAAACGTCTCTGCGCGATTTAGTTGAGAATAATGGCTTATGGCAAGTTATTGAATCAGAACGTCGATCACTGCAGGTCATATATCGGCAAGCAATTCTTCATAACTAGACACTGCACAAATGGAAACGATACAGGTTTGCCCAGTGATAAACACTCGCACTGCACAGACGCGCGCACCTCCGACCGAACGCGGCACGGCACAGCGCAACTGGCGCCGGGAAGCCGGGAACGCATTAAGTGAAGGATTCACGGGTGCGCAACTTTATTGCGAACAATAAAAACCTACCGCAAACGATTAAAAAAAAAGTTTTAGGGCAATCGGAAATACAAATGTATTGACTTATAGAAATAAAATTGTCATTCACCTTCCAAATAACCCAACAATTTATTTGCCGTAAAAAGTGTCTGGAAATGGAAAGTTGCTAACATGATTCAGCAAGTAGGGAAACGCAGCAGCTACCTGGCGAATAATCTCAGGCTGGTTTAGTGACGAGTGCATTGCTACGGCTTGTTCCTCACCCTTCACAGATTACTATGACAAAACTACCCTTAGTATTTTGATCATCCTGAGGCTGGCTTTCACCTAATAATTTGATGAGGGTCTTCCTCGTTTCGGATTGAGGCGAAAACAAACGTCAAACAACCTTGATAGTTAATTCAGCACTTCAAAACAAAGGTACACCTAGGGTATCATCACAATACCGGATCATAACGACCTGGATAGTTCTCAGCCTGTAAGCTAACTAAGCGGTAACTAGTCAAGTGGTAGGTACCGGAAGCATTGACAACCTGGTGACTGTTTCGAGACCCTTGTTTTGACACATAGCTCGTCAATATTTTTTACAGTGTAATTGCCTCTATTGAGCTGGGTATTTCATTATATATTGAACTACCAAATTTATATTTGAAAAGTAGGTATTTAATCTGTAACAACTAGCATTAGGCTGCATGGCACTGGCAGTAGTCGAGCTTGTCAAATACCTAAATGTTTTGCTCAGAAATTGTTTGCTTTATTGGTTTCTTGAGTTTCACCAGATAAAGATACAAGGTTGGCTGATTTGGTGTTAGTTATCCATATTAAGTGCACTGTTTGTGAAAAGATTATGGAAATTGTAACCTCAATAATGAAATTTCATGCTGTCAAAGCTATGAGATGTTGCCTTGAGTTTGAAATCAGGCAAACATGGATTGAAGCTGTTTTCTAAAAAAAAAAACTGCTTTTTAGTAACTTTCACCTCATAATTTGTATTTATTCAATCTCAGATGGGAGCAAGGCTGAATCACAATTATCTTTTGGGAAATGCTCTACAAAACTGCATTGTTTTTATTTCTGTGGCATAATTTTGTGCCTAATTCAAAGACTTTCTCTGGTGTAGTTTGTAATAAGATTGTTTGAACATCTACTTTCTGACCTGTTTGGTGCCAATTAATCCTGCAACCTATTTAGCTTATTCACCCATCTCTCTTGCCATTCCTACATATTTCATGTCAGTCTATTGCATAAATATTGTGTAGTTAACATACTTCATGATATACAAATGAATGGTACCTATAGAGGCTCGATGTGGGTAAATGAGAACCAATGAACCTATATTTTTTTACAATGGCATCAAGTCCTCTTGTCACGGCCATGGATATCACAGAAGATTTTGCTGAACTGCGCAAGAGAATCCTGTGCAAGGAAATGTTTTGCATGATTTAGCTGAACAGCATAAATTTTATTTTCCCAGTTGCATTGGAGCTCTGCTGGAGTTTGCTGATGACAGGATGCTGAAGGGCTGAAGCTGGTAGCTCTGGCAGGAGTCCAGTGTCCACCAGCTCAAGATCCGACGCCGCCGCGTCGCCGCCGTGCGGCACTCCGCGGAGACGGGGACGGCGGTCATGATTGAAGACAACGCATTTCCCGCCTGGACTGTCCGGTCGGAGACTGATAATCCCTCCGTTGAGCCGCACACCGTGGAGCTACTGCACCGCGCGTGTCCACCCGCAGTGCAGTGCCAGCAACGGTGCCGTGAGTGCGACATCTGCGTGCATATGACGCAGTGCGACTGTCACGACTCGCGGCTCAGTGTTAACTGTCAGTGTGACAGTGCGGCTCGCGCTCGTTTTAGCGAGGTGCTCTGTTGACTGTTGTATATAACCACCTTGATGGAGACCTATGTGCTGCCGCTTGAGTTTCAATGTACAGTTTTATGCATCAAACTAGCGTAAGTAAATGGCTGTCAGAGGTCAATTTGAAGCGCAATTAGTACCCATAGCCTAGCTGGGTTGACCGTGTCATGTGACTAGTCCCGATGAACGTTCTGTTTCGATGTCGTCAGTCGTTGACTTTTGTAAACCATTCGTTTC